AGGACAGGGTAACCCCCTCACTAAGTGACGAACTTCCCTGTCCTCGGCAGGACAGTAACGTGTAAGGCAGCGGATAGTGAGCGGCGCTATATCACATCTAGTAACTTACTCACCATGGTCGTTGTCGTCCCCCATAGCTCAATGGTCTCAACCACGGACTGGCAACAGTCGAGCTGCGGGTTCGAGCCCTACCAGGGTCCGATGGAATGCGCACTGCTACGATTCACGAAAGGATGAAATACGAGTAAAGTGCTTTTCCGGGCGTGTGATAGCTGTCTGAGTGACAAATTTCTACCTATATCATTCAATTCCCCCTACTACTCCTCTGTCAAATTATTATTATCAGTTGGAGAGAATAGCCGAATTGGTGAGTGACGTACAAAGACAAGGGTTAAGCTCTGGGGGAAAACATTTTTGGGATAAAGAGGCAAAAACATAGGCCAAAGTGGTTGCAAAGGAACAGTTGTGATGTACGAAGACGATAGTTTTTGCAAACCATGGTCCTTGGAGGATCATAGAAATCCTGAATCGCTGATGAGAACAATGAGCTCGAGTGTAATGTGGCGAAAACGTGGGGATCACGACTCACATATTTACAGTGGTGAGAAAAATGGGACAGTACACGAACAGAATAAAGTGGGGAAAAAGTAAATAAGTAACTACTTCTGAACGCAGGAGCCCCAATGACTACACCACTGCACCATCTAATTAAGTGCAGCGAAGATGAAAAACGAGCGTCGAAGCAAACGGCCAACAAGCATACGGAGGATTCGACCTGGCAAAAGTAATCGGTTCAAGTTTGGCATACGCCCCAGCGTGGTACGAGAGACTTCTTTCTGAGCATCAGCAGGTGGGCTTCGGTACTGTTCACTAGGTGCTCCCATCAAATTCAAACAATACATCACACGCACCAGTGAGCGAAGAAGACCATTCACTCACGATCCTATCAGTGCGAAGTGGTCATGTTTCGGAGCTATGAGGCAGCACCTAGATTACTGCATCGTTGCAGACCCAGTCTTTGACATTGGGTTGGTATCCCAGTCTTCGGGGTTGATTGAAACTGTGGAAAGCCTCACGTGTATCAAGCTCTACAGTGATGTAACCAACAATGTACGCGGAAAGATCGACCACTACGAAAGACGTCCAATTTTGTTTTAATGGGGATATGTATCGTCAAATTGAAGGCGTGGAGATGGGTAGCCCTCTCGGACCGATTCTAGCTGGCATCTTTATGGGTCATTTGGAGAGTAACTTATTACGCGATATCATTGGAGCAACACACTTTTACACGAGGTATATCGACAATACTTTTGTTGTGGTTGACACCGTCCAACAAGCGAAAGTAATTTTGGAAACGTTAAACAAATGTCATCCTAACATCAAATTCACTGTGGAAAGTGAATCAGAGGATTCATTTCATTTTCTTGACGTTTCACTTAAAAGAAGAGCAGATGGTTCACTCATAAGATCGATTTACCGGAAACCGAGCTGGACCGGACAATATCTACATTTCAACAGTTACTGTCCAATGAAATATAAACGATCCCTATATCGAACTTGTTTCCTTAGAGCACATCGAATATGCTCTGAAGAGTCAATTGAAGCTGATTTAAGATACCGAGTCTAACCTAGGCAATAACGGCTATCGGAATAAATTCATTGCCAGGTATCGGAATGAGCGTGCTAAGAAAGAAAAATTAATGGAAGTACCAAAGAAAATGGGCTTCATCACGTTACCATAAAAAGGGGAACAGAACAACAGAAGATTGTGCTACCAATTACGCCAAGCAATACAAATGTGCTACTACACAGCTGAGCACATTTTGTTACATCAAACCAAGTAGCTGTTCCATGAATCCAACTTGGAGTAGCCTCACTCTCAGGTTACCGCCCCATGTGTTTACCAATTCACCTGTAGTTGCGGCAGCATGTACATTGGCCGAACCGAGAGAGGGCTATCAACTAGCATCATGGAATATGTTCCACGGAACCTGTAAAATAGTGGACCTAAACTCCTTGCCAGCTCCAATCGCACAGCATCTGCTCGACTGTACCTTGTGCGAAAACCCACGTGACTCATTCAACATTATCAGAAGACAAAACAACGCAAGCTTGCTTCGTTTCGCTGAAGCCTCAGCAATCCGACGAATGAAACCAAACCTTTGCAAACAGGTAGACCCTGAGGCCGGTCTTGCCTTACCCTGGTAAGATGCAGGCAATGATCTTGATTTTCTCAGTGTTTCATTGATATTCCTATTGACCCCTTTTTCAATTGCATTCCTTTACTCTTTCCACGATTTGTCCGTAAGTGGCTGAATGAGAAGACGCGAAATAATCTGAATTCAGGTTATCCCGCATAA